CGAATTGAGAAGAAGACTATATACATGCCCATCAATCAACCAACTACATCAAGTTTGGAAGACAACAATCAAGACATTGTTATCTCTCCAAGAATAGTTCCACAACAAGAAGAACCATCACCTGAGTCTACTCCAAGACAAGTTAGATCACTAGTAGATATATATGAAACCTGCAACTTGGCCATACTTGAACCAGGAAGCTTTGAAGAGACAGCAAACCAAGAAGTATGGGTCAAGGCTATGGAAGAAGAGATTAAAATGATTGAGAAGAATAATACATGGGAGCTCGTATATTTCCCTCATGAAAAAGATATCATTGGAGTAAAATGGGTATATAAAACAAAGCTTAATCCTGATGGAACTATACAAAAGCACAAAGCAAGATTGGTCGCTAAGGGCTACTCACAACAACTAGGAGTGGACTACAATGAGACATTTGCTCCAGTCGCACGCCTAGACACAATAAGAGCTTTAATAGATCTTGTGGCACAAAAAGGATGGAACATCTACCAATTAGATGTTAAGTCTGCATTCCTCAATGGCGTACTTGAAGAAGAGATCTGTTTGGAGCAACCACCAGGATTTGTGATGAAAGGCCATGAAGGCAAAGTGTTGAGACTCAAGAAAGCTTTATATGGCCTGAAGCAAGCTCCTCGAGCATGGTATAGCAAGATCGACCAGTACTTCACTGATCATGGATTCAAGAGGAGTAAGAGTGAGCCTACACTATACATCAAGACTCAAGGTCAGCATACTCTCTTACTCTCTTTGTATGTAGATGATCTTATTTATACTGGAACCAATACAAATATGATGATGGAGTTTAAAGAAGACATGATGAAGACCATTGAGAAGAATGATCTTGGCTTGATGAGTTACTTCCTCGATATAGAGGTAAGTCAGAGAAATGATAGAATATTCATCTCACAAAAGAAATATACAGAAGCTTTACTAAAGAAATTTAATATGTACAGATGCAAACCTGAAAGTACACCGCTAGTGATGAATGAGAAACTAAAAGGTGGATGGAGCACCAGAAGCTAATGCATCCCAATACAGGAGTCTAGTCGGAAGTCTTCTATATCTCACAGCCACAAGACCAGACATTATGTATGCCACAAGTCTTTTATCAAGATTCATGCAAAAGCCAAGTCAAATTCACTATGGAACAGGAAAAAGAATATTGAGATACCTACAAGGGACAAGGGAGTTTGGTATATGGTATAAAACCATGACCAAATCAAGGATGATTGGCTATACCGACAGTGATTGGGCAAGATCAATAGACGACATGAAGAGTAAATCAAGATATGCCTTCTCACTAGGATCTGGATTTTTCTCTTGGGCGTCAAAGAAGCAAGCAACAATTGCACAATCAACAGCAGAAGCAGAGTATATAGCAGCTGCTGAAACTACAAGTCAAGTAATATGGCTACGAAGAATACTAGAAGAAATGAGTAAACAACAAGATGGACCGACTGTTATATACTGTGACAACAGATCAACAATAACAATGGCATAGAATCCAATTCATCATCAAAGAACGAAGCACATACCCATCAAATATCACTTTATTAGAGAAGCAGAGACAACTAAGCAAATTCAACTTGAATACTGCTCAACAGAAGATCAAGTTGCAGACATATTTACAAAGGCACTACCAAGGGCAAAGTTTGAACAACTACGGACTATGCTTGGAGTTACCAAAATTTGCATCAAGGAGGAGTGTTAAATTATGATGCAATTTCTAGAAAAGGAAAAGAAAATTCTAGAAACATAAGATAATTTGTATAAGAAAGAAGAAGAAAAATCTAGAAACATAAAGATAAGATGTATAAGTCTCTAGAAAAAACTAAAAAGAGTGTAGAGACTTAAATAGTATAAAAAATTCTAGATATTTTCACCATCATCTAGAAATGGAACACCATGTTTATAAATAGGAAAATTGGGATTTCATTGTAACAACAATAATTATCACAACTACTACTACTCTCTAAATACAAACAAGTTTCTATTATTCCTCCAACTATTCCCTGACAACTATCACATACTAACAAAAATATCTAAATATAACATAAATATATCTTTAAATAAACTTACAAGATTACACTTTTTATATAATTTAACATGTTTAATATTTTAAAATGTAAATAAATGTATAATTTTAATATATTATAACAAATTTGATATAATAATAAATATTTATTTATTTTATTTTAAATATGTATGTCTAATAAACTTTTTAAATAAGTATTTATTCTATTTTTAACTAAATATATTTGACTAAATTGTAATTTCAGTTCATCTATTTTTGTCGATTAACAATTTTAATCATTATATTTTAAAATAAAAACATTTATCTCCTTATTTAAAAAAATACGAGATTTTAATCCTATTATCAATTTGATGTTCATTGGTTTTTTAAAATTTGACATTTTCAAGTGACTTTTTTTAAGGAATTTTCAAGTGACTTGTAACAACTTAAATAACATAATATTTACTGGCATAACATCTAAGAATAAAAATTTTAAAATAACATACAAAATATTTTCATTTGTATTTATTTTAATGAGTGATTGATATCTATTTTATTAATAAATCTTATTTATATATTTTTTAATTTTTAATTTTCAAATATTGTTACTAACTACTACATAACTTAAGTATGTCTAAAACGTTGGTTTGAAAAGATGTATAAACTTTTAATTTAATAATTAACAAATATCAATTTAGTGAAGGAATCACAATTCTTTATTTTTAAAGTTAGAACTAAATGTTTCTATTATGAAATAAAGAGATCAAAATTATAAATTGATAAAAATCAAAAAATAAAAATATAATTTAACCGATATATTTTAACAAAAACATTAATCGAATCTATTTTCTAAATAAAAAAGTCTAACCTAGTTTAAACTTAATGTAAATTAGGTCATAGATCCTACGGAGGAGGTTGACCTGTTTCATTCCTAATCACAAAACTCAATTTCATGCCTAATATGATGGGCCATGTGGAGAATTATAAGAATCACTCTAGCTCTCTACTGCTTCTATCTAGCGATATTTTTGGCACTCAACGGACAACACCACAACAGAAAGGTGATACACGCATTTTGTGCATTATTATTTATTCAATCGAAGAACTAGAGGTGTAAATTGTACTTGAACATTATTTTGGAAGAAATACAAACTATTTCTTTTCTTGCGAAAATGATAAACCCTTCAAGTCTAGAAAAGGTACTAACTAGGATCAAGTCCTTTTGTTCGAATCAATATTAGTTTGTATGCAGCATTGCAGCTCTACCTGTAAACTATCAAACAGTTTCGGTTTTTGAACTTTCCACGAGCCAAATAAAAGTGTCTCCAGCAAAATAGAAATAATAGAAATTCCAACATGGATTGGTGAAGTGAACTAAAAATTTTGCTTGGTATGTGCTGCAGATAGAGTAACTCTAATACAAATTGACTTGCTAATGAAACTCTCGAATATCCTATATCTGATCAGAATGTACCTTAACAAATATTATAAGACTTATCAAACCACCTATTATATCAAATCATCCACATATGTCCAATCTCACAAACTTTAAGTTCAAAATGTTCAATTTACAACTTGGAAAAGTGTGTTAAATATATCATACTAACTAGTAATATGGCCTTAATAATATATATAAAAGTGAAGTTAATTTTCATCTTATAAATTGATTTTGTAAGATTAAATTAAAACTAATTATGAACAAGTCATTCAGCCATAATTAAAAAAAAATTATGAATAAGCCATTCAGCCACACCCCATCCTATTTGTTCCTTAAAATATGCTTTGAACACCACATGGGTTGTTTCCCAAATGAGGTCAGAAAGATTCCCAAACAATGTTTCGCAAGACACCCACCACACCAGACTCAGATGCAACTCCAAAGCCTACTACAGCCGCAACCTCATCCTCATAATCTTTTTGAACAATGCTAATTAATATCCATGCTCTCCAAACATTATGGAAGTGCCAGTATTAGTATTATTACACTAGAAACCCAACAAATAATGCAACAGCAACATACAAAGACCAAGTCTTTTGTGTTGATAATGCATGGGACTCGGTCAGAGCAGTGAAATCAACAACTTACAAATGCAGTAGTAGGTTTGTAGATAAGGCTTAATTGCCCTACTCCCACCCAACCACCACCCACCTTAATATAATATATACGGTTGGGTACACCAATATGCATTAATATCATCACATCCATCTTCACCACCAACAATTAAGACCCATCAACACAGAAGCTTTTCACCAAAATTAGCACCCCTCAGTGCCCTCTATCTAAGGCGAGTGAAAAGCTAACCTATCTACCCTTGTTGTCTCCCTCTAAGGTTACCCCGTTTATCAATTTTGGGACCACCCTAATCCACAACCATCACATAGATCCCTCTTCTGTTTTATGGTCCATGGTCCATAAGCTATTGTTTTATTTTGCCTACAACTTTGGTTATAAATTTCCATTTCTTGCATCCAATCCAACTAGTGTAGTAAAGATACAAATTCACACACCAGGAATATAAGCTTTTATGAGTTATGACTACTATCAAGAAATGACGTTTTAAAGTAAAAATTAATAAAACATACAATAACAATACAAAAAGTCTTTTACATTATCATCCAATCACAAACCGTCATTAAGTTTGTTGACTTTTATAATAACTACTGTAAGAGTCATCAACAATGATTTCTAACTAGCTGACACGGTATAAAAACTTTTACTCTAACAATGTATGTCTGCAAACTCTTGATTTGATTAGGTAACATGTAAATCTAATCTGAGGCAGAGATAAAATGAACGCTACTTTATGCCCCAAAAGAAAACAAATGCTTGGGTGTAGTGGAAGCAGCAAAATATGACTAGCAGATACGAGAAATCAGCAATATAATATTGAATAAAGAAATCCCTGAATAGTGCAATCTGCATAAGAACATCTTATCGTTAAAATAAACAAATGGAATAATTAAAGAAGGGAAACCCACAAGTCCTCTTAACAAAATGAGAATAAGTTGTAAAGTTGAATCATGGTCCAGGCCAAACGACAGCCTCACTGAGCACTTGCATTACTATAATCATTCAAAAAAGTGAAAAATTATCATGAACCCCGGTATCTCCACATAAAGGGACAAGGTTTTCTTGATTCCCCATGTACTACTCCATATAATTATATCATATATTGCTATTCTGACAATCAGACAATGTGCACCCCTAACAAATCCCAGTAAGCACCGCAGAAAAAAAAAATCCTGAAAATAACAATCCCCAAATAATAATTATAACTAATCAAGAACAGATATTCTTCAATCTTCACTTCCCATTCACACTTGCAACATAATTAACTAAAGATAACCCTCAATTTTTTTTTCCAATTATTACTATTATAAGACTGTAATAGGGGAGGGGGCTAAAGATGGCATCCAAAGCAATTACAGGTCTTGGGTGTGAATGAGCAGAAGCCAAAGGGTCTATGAGGAATGTTGCAATTGATGGCATAGCAACAAGGAGAGGGCAAGCAAACCCCTTTTGCTCCACCACAGCAGGTGCACAAGGCACATATCTGGAAGCTTCCAAGTTTCCTTCTGCTCTCATTCATCACCATCATCATCTCCATCTTCCCAGCCTCCACCATGGGCACCATTGGAAATGACCCATTTGCCTCCTAATCATAAAAAAACAATCTTTTTCATTTTCCAGCACTACCCAAGAGAAAATTCACAGGAAGCATCACTTGGGGGAACCAAATTAAGAAGCTAGATCAAAGAACCAAATTGAAAAATGTAAACTTTGATTTTGCGAGTTTGAGTGAGCGAGTGTGTGAGACACACACACACAGAGAGAGAGAGAGAGAGAGAGAGACTCACATGGACCATGCTTGCCTCATTGGCTAAAACGGACACAAAAATGAGAGAGATGATGAGACCATGAGAAGGCACCATGGTTGGTTGGTCACTGACAAGTGCTTCTTCCTCTTAGGTTTGTGTATGGAAAGGGGCTAGTGATAATCCTGAGTTGTGTGGACAAGCTTCAAATTGGTGTATCATAAATGTGTAATATTTGGTGCCTATTTATATATATATATAAAAGAAAAAAAAAACAATATTAGAGCTTTAGCTTGGTTTGATAACTAAACTGAATAGCTAGTTTTGCAGGTTGCACAAGGAAGGAGTAGAAACTAAGAAGACTAGGCAAAATGAATTATGGGTTGGAACTTGGAAGGAAAAAAAGGGCAAGAACAAGAACAAGGGTTTCCTTTGAAAACAGAGGCCACAGCACAGAGAGTGTCCCCTTTGGTTTCAAGAGGTAAAGAGAACCCAAGAGAAAGAGAGAGAAAGAATGTGATTTATTTAATTTAGAATATCAAACAAACGCACCCTCTCCACCTCACTCCCTTCGTTTTTTCAACCCAAATGTGTGAATGTCTGTAAACCTAATAAAGGCAGGAATTTTTTTTATAAAAAGGAAAGCAGTGCAGTAAAATGAGTGCTGTAATAAAGAAACTGTGGACCTCATTATATTTTTTCTTTATTGGGTTTATTTTATGTGAACAGAGACACTTCAGCTGCATCAAGCATATGGGTATTCACAAATTTTCTCATAATGGATGCAATTAGGCACTCGCATTATAGAGGGTTACGTTGGAAACGACGGTTTTGTCCTCCCTTCGCCGCGTTATACTAATAAGAAACAAAAGTAATTGATTGTTTACGATGAAAATAATTAAGTTTATTTTAATTAATAATTTTATAAATACTCATAAAATTAAATAATTTAAGTGATGGTTATTTTCGATGGCGTTACTTGGGGGATAGAATAAGTGAGTATTTTAGTAATGGATCTTCTGTAACATTTACATTTTATTAGCAATTATTGATTTATTTAATTTTTACTGTTGTTGTGATTAGTTATTAATTATTGTGAGACTCTAAAGGTTAAGGAATGCTTATGAATTCTAGTTGTTAAGAGTTGTTTTGAGTAAATATTAAGTTGATCAATTAGAAGGAAAATGATAAATAAAGTTTTCTTAAGATTTAAGTTTCATAAACTCATTTATAAAGAAAATTTAGATAAAGGGACTTTAGAGCCTAAGAGAATCTTTTCTTTCCAGAGTATTCTAAAGAGTACTAGAATCTTTTCTCAAAGTCAATGACTAGCAGAGTGATGATTCAAGGCTGTTAGAATTGAGAATCAAGTGGTGGTGATTCTAGTGGGATTAGCTTAGAACAAACTCCTTTTTCCTTTTTCTTCTCTTTTAGTTGATCTGGAGGTAAAGGAAATTAAAACATTAATTTTTAATGAATTATGGAGTTATATGTTGCTCGATTTCCATTAAATTTGCAAGTGTGTTGATGATTGAGAGGAAAATCCTTATATTGTGAGTTTTGGCAATCTTGAGCATGTTGAGATGAATTAGTGAATTTGTCTTAGATGATTACATGTTAAATTTGTGGTTGGAAATGAGTTGCTTGTGTTGTGTAATTAGATTATTTGTCATTACATGATGGGATTTTCTAAGTTTTAGGCGAAATTGAGCCAAAATGTGAATATGCTAAGTGTAGAATTTATCATAACGTCAAGGTAGTTTCAAGCTATCAGGCATAATATAGGTCAAAGGCTCTCTACCTCATTCTCATCGAGCGTAGGATTATGGTGCAGAATATTTATGTTATTAAGTTGTAATCTGGTTAATAAATAAGTTGTATAAGTTGTGAGATGTTGTAGTTGAATGAGTTGTGAAGTTGTATAATGTTTAAGTTACTCAAGCTATTAAGTTGTTAGGCAAGTGGTAAAAATATATATCTTTGCTAAATATACATAAAAATAAAAAAATAATAAAAAATAGAGGAAAGTGAGTGTTATTTTTGAAGTTAAAATATCAAGTTGTATGGATATATTTTGTGGTGCTCTTAGAACCCGATTGAAACCCTTTAGTAAGAGTTGTCTCCATTAGGTTTTATGTGGTATCTATATGTAGACAAAGTCAAGACATACGTGTATAAAACAATTAATTGATTAAAGTACAAAGTTAGAGACTTAGTTTCTTATCGAGTATTAGAGGAATGTAGTAAATTACATGATTGTTTATATAATTATTACATGATAACCCTAGATTAGTTGTTACTTACTTTCTTCCAATGTATAATAGTTAAACTATAATAAATGTAGTAAATTGTCGGATCGTTAAAAAAAATATTACTATTTAAAAATATATAGTCACAAATTTTCATATTATGTCCAAGTAATTAAATATGCTTCTTTTTATATATTTATACTTTTTAACTACTTTAACAAATAGTTTTGCCAAGTGTTTTTAATTGAATCAACTAAATTGTCAACTTTCAGTTTTCATATAGCTTTTAATCTTTTAACTAGCTTTTCAATTTTTAACTAACTTATCCGTTAATGTTTACAAAGACACCTTATGTGTCACGTATTTGGATAAATGCAAATATGAAATTGATTTGTGTAAGATGGTAAACAGTCTTCTTGTTAGACAACTTAAAATAATTAAACTATGAGCCATTTTTAAGATGAACTTAGCCTTGGAATAATGAAATATTTATATTATAAAATTATATATATATATATATATATATGTTGAAAAATTACATAATGTGATACAAAATTAAATTTAAAAAATAAAACAACTTTAAAGAAATATATATTTACATCGTTTGATAGTTCAATTTATATAATACAATTAAAAAGGTTAATAATTTGTCTTAAAACATGATCCACGATAAAATATTATGTCATCGTGCAACTGATGTAACTAATCCTAACTAATGAAAAAATTGTTTGTTGTTGTTATCGTTGAAAAACTATTCTATTACAGTAAAACTCGATTGATGGCTTAAGAAATATAAACATACAAATTTGTTTTTTCGTTTGCACTTTTTTTTCGTTATTGTACATTTTTATAATTTTTTTTGTTATAATAATTGATTGATCCATATTTTGTATTCATATTTCTTTTGAATTTCCTATCTTTTTCGTTAAATTAATCCCTGAAATTACATTTATTTACAAACGATCAAAGTCATAAATTCCATCATGACTCTCTTTGTTTTGGTTGATTGGATTAAAAGAAAAATACAAAGAGAGAAAAAAAAATTCTCTCAATTTATTTGTTTGAGTAGAAAAAGTAAGTAAAAAATACGATATAAAAACATTTCAATCATTATATAAAATAATATATAATTTGTTTATGAAAAAGGATAAATTAGGTTCTCAAAAAATTTTGGACCCATTTCAACTCGATCTATCCTCTAATGAAAATAAAAATTAAAAAAGTTAGATCAAAAGCAACTTTTAAGTTTTAACACGTCCAGCCTACTTCTGGTTTCCAAATATGAAAACACTCTAATCTTGACTCCATTTCTCCTCATTACACTTTTTCTACTCAAAATTCATAGAACCGAATAAAAGGGTTGGGAGCACTTGTATAAGCTTTAAATTATGATATTATATTTGGAAAGAAAGAAAAATCCATTTTTTTAACTTTTAAAAAAAAAAATAACATTTTGACATTTTCATGAAAATATTTATCTAAATTACCAAAAATTTAACATATTTTTAAGTTAAAAAGTGTTTTTTTCCTCCAAAAATGCAAACAAGTCCTTGATAGAGACAACGTTAATTTAAAACATTATTAAGACTAAATTAAAAATGAGAGAACCAAACCTAAGTAAAAAAATGGGACTCCAAATGAACATCGAAGTATTTCACTGTCTTCTGTACTGAATTTTTTTTTGGGGACCAAATCTTTCATACTATTAGCGTGTGCTAAATTCAACTAATGTTAGAAAAAATATTAACTTATTTCTAACAATTTTCCGATAAAACAAAAGAAAAAAGTAATTTCTCTTTTAAAAAATAACAATTCTCAAATGCCTACGACAGCAACGTTGTCTCCAAGTCAAGTGACGACACAAAGCCCACAGCAATAGGAAAGTTTAGAGACTTGTGTAAAATGAAATAAAAAAAATATAACAATTAAAAACTACAAACATTAATGATATATTTCAGACTTTTAAAAAAGTAGTTTAGTCTTACCAAAATTTTCCACATCTAAATAAATATGAAAACTAAACAATCCTTATTTGGACTGCCGCAATGTATTTGTGCTTTCAGATAAATATGAATTTTTAACATTTCTCAAATCTCTCAACTACTCAGTTTGAAACTAGGTCATTTCATAATAATTACTAAACGCGCTTGTGAGCTTTTGCATGATTTTATTAGAAATGATAAATATACAGACAAACAATCACAAAATCCTCACAATACATTAATAAAAAGTTGATAACTTTTTGACTTCGCGTAAAGTCATGTACAGAAATATCTCCTACACTTCTTTTGAATTTTTTTGTTTGAGGATCAATTGTTTACCCAATTTTACATAATCGTGGTTCCGGAAGTGGTATTCATCATGTACTTTTCCTTCTTTTTTTTTCCCGGCTTTTAAGTGTATTTGATTTAGAGAGGTGTTCCACACATAATTTTAAAAATTAGGCCGGTAACCGAACCGATTAAGGTATTGTGTCAGTAAATTAAAGGTTAAACCGTTAAATCACTAGTTGAACTGTATGACTCGATTTTTATTTATTTTTATTAAAAAAAATATTCATATTAAATATATTTTATACTTATAAATTTTAATAAATTCATATTTTATTTTAAATTTCAATTTTTCTATCTTATTTAAAATTATTTTTATTTTTATTTTGTAAAAAAATACATAAAAAATTATATGTTAAACGGTATATTAATACAAATTAAAAATATAAATAATATGTACATATATAATATGTTTGCAATTGATATCACAAAATAATATATGTAATATCTACATAGATATTATATTATTAAATATATAATTTAAAATTAATAATATACTATAAAAGTTATTTAAGTTGTATATATTACAAACAAATACATTAAAACAAGTAGTCATTGTTATATTTAATAAGACTCTTTGCTCTTCCATTAAGAGATTCAATTTTCATTATTATTTTTGTGATTTATGGTCTCTTAAAAAAAATTTAAAAAAAAATAAGAAAGAAAAGTGATTGAACCAGTTTGACCCACTGATTCACCGGTTGAACCAGAAAATTTACCGGTTCAATCCGGTTTGAAATGGGTCGACTGCATAACCGATCCAACTTAAGATTCGGACTGGCTGGACTACCGGTTTCCGGTCCAACCGGTCCGACCGGCCGGTTCAATCCGAGTTTTAAATCACTGGTTGTCACTAAATATAGAAAAGGAAAAGAGATTAACAGATTTATTCTTTGACAAACACAGCTTTAAATTCGTGCACGCACTAAATTAAAGGCAAAAACACAAGTTTAAAGAGAGTGCCTAGTAAAGCCGTAGAGCAGACCTGACAACCACGGAAATACCAATAGCTAGATAACTGTCTACAATATATTCTTATCCTTTTGCTTTACAACGTTAATATGCAGCATTTGTTAGTGTTATTCATGGTTTTAATAATATTTTCTGCAAAAAGAATATTTTACCAAAAAAAGAAAAATCCAATCTGAACTGCTTTTCCGATCGAAATGAAAAAGAAATGATCCTTCTTAGTAATTCAGATTTTATAGCCCAGAAATGACTCACCAACCAACCCACTGAATCAATGCTGTATCCCACAGAACTCAGAAAACTTGCGTATTTCTTTGAACTAATAACCAATGAAGCTTGGAAATTTACTCAGTGCAGGTTTGGAAATTCATCAGAAAGCAAAGAATTAGTCCAATTTAACCTAAAATCAAGGAAACTATAAGTATTGGCTTCTTAACTCATAGCTAAATAAAGAAAATCACATCGGCAACATAAAACCAAACACGCTATCACTCACCAAGAAATATTAAGGTATAAACTGCGAATTAATTATAATAAAACAGGTCAATCAAGCAAGTTTTTAAAAATAGTAAATTCGGATTCAGAAAACAGTCTAGCACAATAAAACAAACTTCTCAGGATTTGGCTGTCAGCACAGGACTGCAAAAAACAGAATTAGTTCAAATCATGACAATGATCATCACACCGTTCTCTATGTATCAGGAAATAAAAGAAAGAATGGACGTAGTACCTGAGAACACTTGCTAATCAGCGGGCAACACATCATATACATCTATATTCCACCAATGAATTAATGCTAATAAAGCCTCCAGAAAAGATTTAAACTGCCGACCATGATTTAGTTGCATGTGAACTGTTAACCGAACTCCAAGCCAGAAAGGACCATCCACCCACAATTAATTGAAGCATGTAATTAAGTAATTTGTAGCCTGAACCCTATAAGAACAGAAGTCACAATTGCAATGAGGCTTGACAAATGCAAAACAGCATAAAAATAATGTGCTTCTGTTTCCCTTCAACTTCTGCAAAACGAATTCTATCTAGGACAATCAATCATACAAAAAGAACAAATATACCATGGGAAAGTAGAATTACAGATAAAATTATAGAATAGTTGCTTTTATTTTTACTTTAAAGAAAATATGACAAATGCAACAATTAAAACTTCCTTGGACTGCTGCTGTATTCTGATAAGAATGTACAAAAATGTGAAAAATAAAAGGATATTGATCATACTGTTGACTTGCTGTTGAAAAAGATTTCTATGCATGCACAGTAAACAGCATAAACCCAACTGTTTTGAGAAAGAAAAGTCTTTGCACTGAATTTCAAACCTGCACCAAAGAAAGATTCACACAGGAGCCAAATATTGATCATTATGATTTTCAAAGAAACTTTTTTTACATATTGGGAAAACATTAAATAGATAGACTGACTTAAGGACTGAAGAAATGTTCACACTGGATTTTCACCAAATGTGACAAATATTTGTAAAATTTATACAATGTGACAGCATGAAATTCAGAACAACTGAATCTGTCAACTGCATTAAATAGCATGACAGACTCAGCTTGACATGAACTCTGTAGTCTGTACATCTCCAGCAATGGGAAAATCAATTTACAGATTACCCTTTTCTCCCCTGAAAAAAAATTGTAAAAAGCAAATGACCCATTTCCAAGAGACATCATTATCCCTCTTCATCAATGTTATCATCACCAGAAGGAATCTGTCTGGTCTCTGATAATGAAAGCCTCCTTGGCTTTGCTGAGCCTGACTCAACAAGTCCTTCTGATGATAAATTTAATGCAGCACTTCCTGATGAAGAACCTAACAATCGCCGACCTGGGGCATCAGCTGAAGGTGATGCAGATATGTTATAGGTGAAGATTCCCATTGGGTGATCAAACTTGCAACTTGGCCCAAATTTGCATATGCCATAACGTGAATAGAAGACACACAAAGGCTCTCCCTGTAGCAAATGGGACAACCACTATTAGCATGTACCAAAATCAATAAAAAGATCATATCAATGTGAAGGAAATAATGTAAAAAATAATTGCAAATTGTCTGTCTAATCACAGCAAACTAATCTTTTTTATGGAATTTATTCACTTTACCCAAGAAAAAAAGGTCACATCTAGTTAAAATACTAAACTGCATTTCACACAGTTCAAAGAAGGAATTAAACCAGACACAATTTTTTGGGAATGATATGCTACATCAAAAAGCACAGGAATCAACACTGGTGCAATCAAATATCGCAATTTGATTTATATGTAACAAGAGATGTGCACACTTAAGATATTTTATATTGGTTTTGTTTTTGTTGAGATCCCACGTTGACTATATATATGGCACAAAATTATAAAGACTTGTGCAATCCTCATCTCATAAGCAAGCTTTTGAGGTTGAGTTAGGTCCAACATAAATTCATGATGGTATCAGTGTCATAGATTTGATATTGGCACCCATCAACTGTCCAAAAATCCAACAGACCTTGCCACTTTCCCAGTGCAAACTACCTGACCCTGTGGCTTTCCCAGTATAATATATGGCCAAAGTAGAGCTTATAAAAGCTGAAGGAAATTCTCACCTCATAAGCTAGCTTTAGGGGTTGAGTTAGGCCTAGTCCAAATTCAATAGTTTTCATTATCTGTTCTGTCTTCAATTCTACAATTGCTTCAAACCATTAAGTTGACTTCAGATTACTGTTGCACTTAAAACTACAATTCTTCGATGTCTCAGATTCAAACATCTGTAATGCTGTTGCATAGTTCAATGAAAGGGTTTCCATTTATTTTGATTAAACAATTTATAGGCTGTCATGAATGGAACTAGGACATATTATGCCACTTTGTCTAAAAAATTTCCAACAAAATGATTTTTAAAAAAAGTATTTTTTTTAAGAACCAGATAAGAGTTGCTTCATGAAAAAACATATAACTATTTTTTTATAAAAAAAAGTTTAAACCATATAAAAAAATAGAAAACTGTTATTCTATTTAAATAAATAAAAAAGTTTAAACAAGCACATTACTTCCTAATATTTTAAAATAAAAAAAGTCAAACGTAGTGATTTGAATCCTTTTATTTCATGAAAATGTTAACTGAACACTGATAGAAATGAAACTGATACCATATATTCTGCATTGCCTCGGTTCTTTTCCCTCTCTCTAACATCAGACCCTTATCCCATAGGATATTAGTTACTCCCCCTTGCCAAGCTTACAAACTACAATTTTGCTCATTTCAGCTCCCGAGTTAGTCATTTTAGAAGAGATAGATACAAGTACAATACCCTATATCAGAGAACCCAAATTTTCAGCACAGGCTCCTAAAATTCCTCCATATAGTCTCATAAATGTGTCATGTCTATCTCTCTATTAGAAGCTAAAATTAGAGGATTCAAATTAAAAAATAGACAAATGTAAAGAGTAAAGAATAATACAGTAACAAAGTAATTAACCTTCAAGCAAATTTAAGAACACTCATCTTTTTTTTAGGCCATACTAAACTCAAAACCTATGAGAACTATTATGAAGTTTTAAATTCAGGAAAAAAGAGAATTTATTTTAATGAAATATAAACTTGGCATATGGAACCCAAGAGCAAGAATTCAACTCACAGGACGTAAAGGAAGGCCAATGGGACTCAAAACACAGTCAGGAGCAGGAATCATCCTTTCACGTGGATGATGGAAACGACAGACCGCACCAAACTTGCAATCTCCAGTCTTCATGTAGAATTGGCATTCAGGCTGATCAGGTCTCTCAGGAAATATGCTCTCCCTCTGCAATGCATAGAACCCTACAGGAACAGAGCCAGATCGAAATTGAGAATATGCCCCCTGGGATCCTGCAGTAGCTGGTTCACTTTGCCGAGAAGTTCCATAGCTTTGGCCATTTCCCATTGTTTGTTGTGGACTTTCTGGTCCCATTTGGCCCTGAAAAAATGAATATTCCATTAGGATGTTGATACATCTCAGAAAAAGCAAGATCTGTAAAACAGGTCAGTACATATCAGCCATGTGCCATTATGACAGTAATTGTTCACCATAAAACCAGATAGATGACAATGACACCAATGTATTATTTGAAACATAAATGCAATAAATTTCTCTCTAACAGTGTAACAAGCTCAACTTTTTACACAAAAAATACCTTGGTAGGGAAGAACATAGGAGGGAAATATATCCTACTAGCATATAAAATTAAAAATCCAGAGTCAAACAACCATTCACAAAGTCAGATCAAAATCTGAAGGAAATATAAATGATGGTGTCAATATGATCAACCAACTCTCTCAAAGATTTAAGTTGTTGGATGAAAGCACTGGAATGGTTTTATTTTTAACACACCCCCTCACACAAGTTGAAATTTAACTATTATTTAGAATAACAAGGACAACAATAATCAAACTCTAATTTAACTTCGATACCATGTCATGAACAAAGTATCCCAAAAGCTTAGCTATTAGATTAAAGCACATGAAGGGTTTTATATCTAACAAATGGTAAAACTCCTGCTTAAGAAAATTACATAACATGCATCTCCTGAGAAAAATGTGCCTTTTAATCTGTCACAAGCATAGAATATCACATCTTTTTATTTCTTCCTTATTACCTTCTCAATGAAAGAATGGATGACTTACACTGTACGCACTCCACCCAGGCACTGAAACCATTCCCTGAGGTAGAATTAAAGGTGCATAACTTGAAGGGCCTTGCCAACGTGGGCTAGGAATATACGATGAACTAGACCAATTTGTAATTCCTGTCGCATATGACTGCTGACCTGGTGTAGTTGGAGAATGGACAGTAGGATAAACAGGAGAACTTCGCATGGAAAGCACCATATTGTTTGGTTGAGGATGGTGAAATTTGCATGTGTTACCAAATTTACATTGTCCAGTTCTTAAATAATAGGCACATTCAGGCTCATTCTGTATCAACAATAAACAGAGAATATACAATTAGACTATAAATATCAACAAACCCACGAAACAATCAGGTGTCAGACATTAAATAGAATCATTATCTGCTCAGGGTCATTCCGTATCAGCAAGAAACGAGAAAATATAGAACTAGACTATTAATATCAACAATCTAGCAAAACTTTCCAGTGTCGTATATATAATAGAAGTGTTATATGAATAAAAGTATACAAGTTGCAAGGCCACAAAATTTTAGACAATGTATACAGAACAGAAAGAGAAAGAAGCATCATCTTTATTAAAGCTTTTAAGTCTAGAAACGTATCAGGCAAGTTAATTGTGCTATAAACCAAACAAGCAATCAAACAAGAATGGGCCAAAAATTACAAACAATTACTACCTTAGGCTTAGCTGTATTTAGATATAAAATAAGAGATAAGTATTCAATACTAACTGGGCGGAGTGGATAGCCTAAAAAATTCAAGGCAACTCTTCCAGCAATCCCAGCCTTGTCTCTAGGATGATGAAACCTGCATGTGGCTCCAAATTTGCAAGTTCCTGTCTTCAAATAGTACTGGAAAGCATAAAAAAAAAGGGATCAGTATTTGTAATGTGGTGAACATTTAAATATACAAGTACATATATATATGAGGAGGGATCCACTTACTCCAAGAATAAGTCTATCTAGACTTACTTTATTCAATAACTCATGTTTTATATCAAATTTAAATGATTCAACCATTGAATTAAAAATTCTTAATGCATAGATCAAGTTAGCAAATTTTTAAAAAAATTGAAAACTATTTAATACTTTGTTCTATCAATTCAAATCAATGTATAAAATCTTTTTATAGTTTCAAATTTTTTAAAAAATTTTAAAAAGTGCACTTCAAGTTTAACTACTAAATTTTTTAACTGATTTTCGGACAGATGAATGCTAAACTGAACTAATGTTAGATAAACATTAATCAGCTGCCTAAAAGTTTTGGCAAAGACATTCATGCAGAAAGAAAATTCAAATTCTGTTAAGTTTCCACCCAAAATACCACTTCCACTGGACTATAGTAATTCAGATCTTATATATCAAGAGCTCTCCAATAAAGGGGTTGATTTATGAAAAAATGACATACAGACATTGTTGGGTATGAAGATGAATATCCACTGGTGGATATTGTATCCTTATTAGGGGTAACCACATCTCATGAAAGCAAGAAGCAAATTGCAGTTGCAAGATCAAGTACAAAAATAGAGCATTGAGATATGGCTCTTGCAACTTGTGGACTTATTATATGGCTTTGACCATAATTTGAAGAGTTGAGATTTTGCAATACAAGTCCTATAAATTTATTTGTTATAATCTAGTTGCATTTCATATTGCCCCCAATCCAGTCTTGGGCAAACCAAACACACCAGGGTTAATTGCCATTTTATGCGAGAGAAGATTCTTTCTAGGGATATCACTACTTCGTTTGTATACTCTAATGATCAACTAATAGATATGTTCACCAAGGATCCAAATCACCTGTCCCTTATAGAACATATGCTTATCTCTTATCCTTACAATTTAGGATCTATCTTCTATTAGGATTTGAATTGAAATTAGATTAAGTATACATTCATAGGGGCTGAGAGGAATTCTCTCAGGCAATTGCAAGTATCCTAAAGAGTTCAAGTAGTTTTGAAAAATTATAAAATTCCACCTTTAAAAAAGAAAATTCACAGAGCATGCACATAAACAAGCAATGTGCACCTTATGCATTCATTGAGAAACAAGTACATGCCTGGCATTCTGGCTGTCCTATCCTTTCTGGGAATTCACCTTTCATCCGTGCAGCGGCAATAGCCTGACAGTATTCAAAGAAAAAACTATTAGGTAACTATATTATTTAACTAATAATGTGTGATCAAAATGAAAATTACCAACAATACAGCAACATAGTTTTGACCATAGACAGCACAGAAACAAGCTTAAAACCAAAAAAAAAAAAGGTGAAAACAGCTAAAAGAAATTTGCCCATAAAAAAACAGATGTGTAAAGAAAACAAAAGCTATACACAAATGCAAGTTATATCCTCCCAGGTGTGTATGTGTGTGTGTGCATCTTTGTTGTCTGCTAACTCACTGACATGATCCAATTGAGAAAGTGGAAAATGCAAGCATTGTTAATAGGAAATTAGGGATAAACTAAGCAAAAAATGCTTGTCGAAAGAATATAAAGGGACAACAGAAAATAGTTTCAACTGTCTACGGGATATTCTATGTAGATAATATCTAATACATATATAACAAATATGCAAGTACAATTTGTCCAAAAGCATTGCAAGGATCATACCAGCTTCCTGTTAGGAGGATGATTAAATCGACATGTTGCTCCAAATCTACAAAGGCCGGTCCTAATGTAATATGAACAATCCGGTTCTCCTGGATGCTCAGGATAAGGTCCTGATTCCATTGTTTCACTTGACCTCAAGTTAATTTGCCACATTGCATCTGAAATCACATGATACGAACAGGTCAATTTCTCAAAAAGAGACATCATTTTAATTTAGACTTCTATTTGTCACTTTAAGTATCTCAGTGCATTACAAACTTGGCTTAGGCTTATAAATATGTATCTGACATAGAAAGTTACTTGTATGAAATTTAAAATTAAAATTTCAAGGACATTTTCTTCAGTTTGATATTTTCGTCCAAACCACATTAAAACCCCTATTGGGAGCGATATGAGCTCAAGGCATTTCTGAATTTCCTGGCTTCTTTTAAAAAGCATGATCGGGAAAAATGGTTTAAAATTTAAATTATGACTAAAGTAACGCGTATTGCACTCTCACATAATCATAAATAATCAGTATAATAATTTTATTATTATTTTTACAATAACTACTTCAGAATTCATTTATACATGATTTATTACTGTTTGATAATAATTTTTTTTATACATGCATATAAATTAAACTCGTAAAATATTCATTAAACATAAAAGAAATTTCAAAAAATTTCCGTAAACAGCACTTAGATTTTCTTTTCAGTGTTTTAAATATGACACTAAAGAATAATCTACACTTTTGTGACGAAATTTTTACAGTTAAACATTATTTTAACAACTGCAGCCTGCGGCCGCCTCGCTTAGATTAGTAATTATTAAAGTGTTCAATAAAAACAATTTATCACAAAAGCACAAGAAAGTATCTAAATCTAAAATCACAAAAGCACTAGCATAACCAATTACTAGTTTGAATCAGGAAAAGTCATATTATATTCATTACTAAATTGAATTCAAGCGAACAAGGAAGCGCAATCAGAAAAAGTAGCTCCGATTGCGGTTTTTATTGTCCAGTCAAAAAGCAGAACAACCAAATTACACGCACATGAACACGAACATTCCCAAAGCGGTTAAGAAACCACCAACACCAACACAAACAAGCACATACAGCGAAGTGAAATCCAATCAAAATAAAAAACATAAAAAAATTATTTGCAAGTTAGTCCCTAACGTGAAAAATACATAACAGATGCAGAATTGAGAGACGAAGCACCTCAGATCTCAGAATAACGCAATCGGACCTCAGAACAACAAAACAGGAAGAAAAACAAGCGCGATGATCATCCATCGCGGATCATCCGCGATGAGAAGATCACGAAAACGCACGTGATCGGAACGAACGAGATTGAAACAAAGCTATTTATCACAGAAGAGGAAGAAGAAAGAAAAGAAAAAAAAAAAAGTACGCAGAGAGAAAAAAAACAAAGGACCTTGCGGAAGGTGCTCTCGGGACACGGGAATCGCGGCATCGAATTCCATACACGCACAACACTGCTATCATCACCGCCCTGTCACTCTACACATTATTTCGTTCCCCTCACTCGCCACTCACTATAACTACGATCACCCTCCCACACCAACAACAATTAAATAAAATCGATAATAATAATAATAATTTTCATTTTACTAATTAAAAAAAAAAGTGTTAGAGAGAGTGTGTGTGTTGGTGGAGAGAAAGAAAGAGAGAAAAGGAAGAAAGAACCAGAGGTGGCGTTGTGTTCTCCACTCCACAAACGAGAACAAGGAATAAAAACCAACCAATCACACTACGCCAATCATCTCTTACTGTTACTATGACACTATTCGCTTTTTTCACCCGCGTCTTCCACAACACACGTTCGTTTATCGCTATTAGTACCGCGTATCCTTTTTCCACACCCTTTTTCTTTTTCTTGCATTTATTTAATTAGCCAATTTTGACTTCTATGCCTTTTTTACGTCAACATGTAGTAATATTATTATATTATTATTTTCTTGATTAAAACAATGGGAAAAATGAAATTACTTTTTCACTCCCACGTGACCTAGTGCTTCTCTGTCACGACTCGCACGAACTTCTTTTTGAAAGAAAAAAATAAAAATATTAAATGTGTGGAAAAAAAAATTAAAGAAGTTGGTTTTAAGTAAGAAGCATTGAGGGTTCAATCTTCATTTTTGTAATATTTTCAATCTTGGAAAATTATCTACTTTTGTTTATGAAAATATCATTTCTGAGAATATAATAATGAGAATGGTGTTTTTTCGTCACTTTTTTCTGATAAAGAAAAATGAGAATATCGAAATTATTCTTTTCTTAAAAGCGTTTTACGTTGAAGAATACTTTTAAAAAGAATTTCTAAAAGAATGATAAAACACATTCTTCATATATTCATGAGAATATGCTAAGTGTTTATATATATTTTTTGATTTACAGTCACCGTAACAACTAACAAGTAACATTCTTTCATTTGGTTGTTTTTGTTTCTTTGCTTTGTTTTTAATTTATTGGTGTTGGTAAAGCTGATTTTTATTTTTTATTTTTTTGAGAAATAAGAAAAGAAAAGGTATGGTTGATATTTACGATCATGTGGTGATTGATGATTGGTGCATAAAGAAAAAGAAAAAAAGGCGAAAGGAGTGGATAATCGAATTTGGAACCATTGGTTTAGAAAGGAAAGCAGAAAAAGAGTTCGTGGAAGACGGCTTGCAGTTTTAGCATGAAGTTGACCCCCCATGAAAAATAATGGAAATTAATGCACAAAAATACAAAATAAAATGAAATAAAAACAAGTAAAGCTATGAACAAAAAAATACGGAAATAAATCAAGCTTGTCTCTAGAAACTGATTGCGTTTAACTCTCGAGCTGTATGAAAGTACAAGTCTTTTTAACCCAATGGCTTATTTCAAGTTTTATAAATTATTTTTTAACTTTTGAATCTACTTATGTTTCTGATTTATAATTTGATAAAGTATAATAAATAAAAATTATTTAAAATTAATAATCATGTGAGTTTATTTCATTTCATTTTTTTTATAATTCCTATATTTACCTTTTAATTTTAATTGGTGTTACAGATTAAGCCTATGGTTCAAACAATTTCGTCCACCTAAAACATTTTGTTTAAAGTTATCGTGTTACTACATTTATAAACAAAATATAATTGTTCACAAAAAGTTTTATAGTTGTACAAAAATAATATTTTATGTCAGGACTTTATATTAAATAACCTAGATAATAAAAGTATACAGTGACATAATTAAAAAATTTTGACAATTTTTTTACATCATTTGCAAAGGAATCAATGTAGAAAATGTTCTCTTTTGCATAGGTTATAGATTTACTCGATGTAGAATGTCCTCTTTTGCACTTGTATTTGGTTTTGTGCCAAAAAATTTAGTCTAATTATATAAATATTTAATGTAACTATAAAAGATACTCATTTTATCCTAGTGAGATTATTATTGATTTGAGTTTCATAGTGCATTTTTGTACACACTTACTCATCTTTCATGCTATTGTAATATATTAGTATGGTAATTGACTTAAAATTGTGATTTTTGATGATGATAAAAATTTATTTTGTTAATCATAAATGCTTTTATGAATGTTTATAAATGTTACATATGAATTAATGAATTTTATTACATTAAATAAACAAATAAAAGTAATATAACATTTTTATCATATTAAAACATTATTTTTAACTTAGAAATGCTAATTTCTCACATTTTCATAAGATCAATTTCACGTGAAACCTATCTAAAAATTATTTTGGAGAAACAAATTTTCTAAAAATATTATTTTTAAATAACAAATCAAACATGAAAAACTAATATTCTAAAGTCAAATTCTCGATAAAGTAAAAAAATTTATATATCAAATGCCCCATAAAGTCATATATAGAAGGAAAAGTCCTAACAAAGATTTGATTATTTTTTTAGTTAAATGTTATTTATAAAGATTCTAGTGTTGTAGTATTTTGAAAATTTTATAATACATTTATAGATAATATTTTTGATTGTTTTGATTTGTTCCTCAAAAATTGATTCATAGGAAAGATAATATTGTATTGGCTTTTTCAATAATTATCATAAAATTAGAAACCCTAAGGATTCATATACATTTGTTATGGTTATTCAATTACGCAAAGATGCTTTCAAGAATTTTTAGGGAGATTCTAGAAAGAAATAGCTTTCTTCTCCAACTTGCTCAAATATATCCGACTTCACATGGTGATAAAGTTGACATGAAGAGACATTCTATTTGGCTTATCCCTAGTCAAGCTAAGGTCAAAAAATATGGAGGAGTTTAGGATTTGTGCAAACAATTATCTCAAACATGAGTGATATCTTAAACAAGTCAAAATAGATGCCAATACTCTCAATTTGCAAGTAAGGAAAAAGAATGAGTCAGGGAAAAACAATGGTCAAACTGAAGGTTAAGGCCAAAACCAACGTCATGTCCTAAGAAAAATCATGGACTGTATGGCATGAGAAGAAAGGACCAACGTACATTTAGGTTAGATTTATTCAACTAACTTCATATAATTTATTCAACTAACTTCATATAATTTGTTATTAACTATGCCCAGTTGGTCACAAATTAGACGATAATTTAGGTTAGATTTATTCAACTAACTTCATATAATGAACTATGACTTATAAGTTCTCCAAACTATATTATATTTCATACATTTTGATGGAACCCATTACAAATAAGACATGTAGGACCAACGTACCAAAGTACTGGAGACCAAATTCTATAAATATGCCTAGGACTCACTACTATATGTTTATTGGGACCAAAGTCTAATAAAATTGGAAATCATAGAGTGTGAGACCAAATTACCAAAAGGGTGATGAAATTTAAAACTTGCCAAGGATCCATTAGCAAGGATGTGTCGGAACAAATGCATATTAAAAAAAATGTGATATTAAAAGGAAAAACATAGCTATTAAGTTAAATTGTAACTTTTAAAATTATCCCAAAAGTAAAAGTACTAAAGAAAATGTATTTGTTTTTAAATATATTACAGGGCATTACAAGTAAATTATAAAAAAAAATATATAAATGGGTAAAATAAGTCTTTGTATTTGATCTCCTTATACAATCATCTTGAGCCCTTGACATTCAACAACATTATCAAAGGATTTCTTTTTAATTATAACAAATCCCATGATAATAGTGTGGTAAAAAAAAATTGTCATTTTCAAGCTCAAAATTAACTATCCATTCTCAGTTTCTAAAGTAGTTTTTCCAACTCAATGATGACCATTTTGTCCTAAGGAACATTTTTTTGTAAATTTTGTTAAGTCTCTTTGAAATTGGTTTGTTTCTATATTTAATTACCTTTGTCATAATCAATTCAACTACTTGTTTTGATCAGTTGATATTAGAAGAGTTATCTTATTTTAGTGTGTCAGTATTTATGTTTCACTTCAAGTTAGACAACATATGAAAGACAATCATGAGTTAAGTATTGAAGAATGATATTACTTTTTAAGATTTAACGAGAAGCTCAATCACAAGGAATATCAAAATCTATTTATGAATGCTAGTAAAACATTTTTTTTAAGGTTAGTAAAAATATCTTTAAAGTAAATATCCTATTGAATTTTGGTCACATCAAAAGGTTTTTCAAAGACACAAAAAAAATTTAGATTCTTCTAAACTTTAAACTTTCAGGTCAAAGTCTAAATCTTTCATTGAACTTGGTCTTGAAGGATAATGAAAATTTGTTATTTCAAAGAATGGTTAAAAATATTCTTATTCATGATCAAGTATTGAATCATTTTCCTTAACTCTTTTTCTCTCTACTATCATATTTCTCAACTTCAAAATTCTTTATTGCTTAGTAAAATATGTCATCCTTTTAGTTTATTTTTAGGAGCATATTGGTTAGATGTTTGCCTCTTGCTTAATTTCATCTTGTGACCCTAAAATTAGGGACATGAGTCTTGAGACCTAGAGAATGACATAATAAATGTGGATTTTCACTTTATATAGATGATCATTCTTAATTCATAATTGTATTGTATCTTTAGACCTAAAAAATTGAAGTATGATCATTAAAAAGCTTACCAAGAGTCATCTCAATAAAACTATGAGTTAATAATTTATACACTGCTAGTGTAAAGTTTTTTTACACTGACAATCAATCATATCTTTTAATAGTGCAATGTCATTTGCTTATTTAATCAAATAAAAATAAAATAAATAATTTAAAAAATATGATTGGTTGCCAGTGTAAAAAAATTTTACACTGGCAATGTATGGATGATTAACTCTAAAACTATTGTCTATAACAAAATTAAGTTAGAAGAGAAGAAAATTATAAATAGGTTGCCTTTACAAACTTTAATCTTTGTAGGATATATATATATATATATATAT